CATGCCATGCAAGGACAAGTCCTGAGTTCAATCCCTGGTACCAAAAAAAAAAAAGACACACTTTGTAAGACAGAACATTGCGGCTCAGTTATAAGTCCAAACAGTCATTATATAGGTAGGTCATTAAACAAAGTATCTGTAGTTCTGGTAGTCCTCTTCCTGAATGTCTCTAGTTGGGCTCTTGTGGCTGCCTGGATGTCCTGAATCCATTCAGAGCTTTACCTTTCATGGTCATTTTCACTTTGGGGGGAGAGCCAGAAGTCACAGGTGTCAGATCTAGTTAATAAGGTAGATGAGAATATACCATAGTGTTTTTACAAGCCTGCTTTTTCCACTGTTGGATGACATCCAGCAGCAGAATTCACTGTATATTGGATCATACCTTGTAAAGACACTCTTGAAGAGGACTTCCAGAACTGCTTCAGAAAGTGGCAAGAACAATGGGATATGTGTGTAAAATGAATACTTCTTTCTCGTTACAAGAAGCATTCATGTATCTGACAATTTTTTTTTAAGGCTATGAATATTAAAATAGAACCAGAAGAGACTACAGAAGCCAGAACTCATAATCTGAGACGTCGAATGGGTTGTCCAACTCCAAAATGTGAAAATGGTAAGAGAATTTATCCCTGAATAAGAAAGAAAAAGTAAAGAAGTAAAAGTAACTATTTGTTAAATTAAGTAGACATTACTCACTGAGTTGGGCTTTGAGAAATAAAATCTTACGTGTCACTGTCATTGTTCTCATAGTTAGTTGGCCATTGGGAAAGAGAAACAAACATGCTTACTAGGAATATAGGTGAATTTCTGAGACGTAACAAGTTGGTTCTTTGAAATTTAGTCCAATGCATTCATTGCAAAATGGCGATTGAAAGTATAGATATCTTTGATTATCTCATAGATTTGTTTCAGGCAAGGCAGAGAGAGAGAGAGAGAGAGAGAGATTGCAAGTCTGAATTTTTCTAAGTGACTGAGAGGTAGATTTAGGATTCTCTTAGGAGATATCCTGTATGCTAAATAGGAGGCATATGCAAATGAAGAAGTCATTGAAATTAGCTCTTAAAGATAAGTGAATTAATGGAAAGGCAGTACAGTGTAGTGGGAAGTAATAACATGAATCTGAATACTGGTTCAACTACTAACTAGTTGTATGTATGACCTTAGAGATTTCTTTTTTTTTTTTTTTTCTGGTACCAGGGATCGAACTCGGGACCTTGCGCTTGCGAGGCAGGCAGTGGCACCACCGAGCTAAATCCCCGGCCCTAGATTTCTTTTTTTTTAATTGAAAAAAGTTTTATTAGTATGGGTTTGCAGTACATGATGATTATTCATTCATTTTGTCTTTTAACATCAGTTTTTTAAATATTTGAAATGGGGTTTGTTGTGAAGGAGTAAATAATTTATAGAAGCTTTAGGTGTAGCGCAGTAGTTAATAACCAAAGTTTTAACCAATTTTAGCCAAATTGTCAGTCTCTGGAACTGGGAAGTTAGAGACCAGAAAGTTGAACAGGAAATCATCTTAGATCTTGGAGAGAAATGTGTAATGTGGAGCAGGTCCGGTCAATGAACTGTTAGTCTCTCAGTCATCACGATTCCATCCTTATCTGCTGTGTCTGGGTCTTAGGGAAGGAAACTGTTAGCCCCTGTTCCAAAGGCATACAAACTTGAGCAACATGTACATACCACCTCTTGGAATTTAATCGAAGTGAGAGTGCATTTTATCATGAAGCAGCCAGCATTGAGTCCTTGAATATGGTGACACTGGTCCTGCTGTGATGAAGACAAGTGTGCAATTAGATTTGTGTACAGTGTGTGCTGTGGAAGGGAGGCGATGAGATGAGGGAGGAAGCAGAGGAAAGCACAGTGCAGAATGAGCTGACTTTGGATTGCCTCCTGCAGAGAAAGAAATGAAAAGTAACATCAAACAAGAACCCTTTGAGAAGAAAGATTATATTGTAGAGAGTGAGAAGGAAAAGCCCAAGAGTCGATCTAAAAAAACCACCAATGCTGTGAGTTGACATCTCTTTTTCTCCTTTCCCCATTTCTTCTTTTCCTCATTCCATTCCTTTCTTTCAGCTCCTTTGCCCCAAGCTTATACTTGGATGCTTTACTGAGGAGTGGCTATCTTAGGTGTGACAACAACTAAAAAGATTCTTCAAGTCAGTTTATAGTACTATCAGTTTGTAAAGGAGGAAGTGCCTGATTACATTGTGAAGAGGATAGTAACATCTGGGTAAGGGGACACAGTTTAGCACAGAATAGCGATGAGTGTCATAGGCATAATTGTTCATAAACCACTAGCCCACCCCTGGAGGAACTGAAAGCTAGATCAAAAACCAGCACAGTTGGTATTTTTCAACTACCCAATTAGCAAAGGAAAGGAAATTGATGGAATGAAAAGGAAAAGGAATCAGGCATTAGTTGTGAGGATATGGCAGGGTTGGGGAGCTGGTCACTCAAAGCTTGAGGACATTAGAAAGGGGCTGGTGGCCCGTCTTCATCTGTCTTGTCCCTTCTGAGAGCTTTTCATCTCAGAATTAGAAGGTGGTTTTTTTGGGGGGGAGGGCTTAGATTTTTAAAAAATCAGTGCATAATGATTACGTTCATCATGAGTTGGCACTAGACATAACACATCTTAGTTTCTACCTCCCTTCCTTATCTCTCTTCCCTGGAATTAGAAGTAATTCTAATTGAATTTTTTTTTTTTTTTTTTTTTTTGGTACTGGGGATCGAACTCGGGGTCCTTACACTTGCAAGGGAGGCGGCGAAACCACTGAGCTAAATCCCCGGCCCTTGAATGTATTTTTTATAAATATCATCTCTGCCCCTTTCTCTCCATATACATGCATGCATGCACAGATACAATCACAAAATTGGCAGAGCCCATGTTTTTATTTCCCACAATAAAGAGGCTAAAAAGGTGAAATTCCCTGTCAGCTGAATTTTCAGCTTTTTATTGAGTGATGTTAGCTTGCTGGGGATTGCATAAGAAAGTACCACAGATTGGTTGGCTTGAATAACAAATTTCTTTGCAGTTCTGTGGCCTGGGAAGTCTGAGATGTAGGTGTTGGTAGGGTTGCTTTCTTCTAAGGCCAGCTTCTTTCTCCTTGGCTGTAGATGACTGTCTTCTCCATTCTTTACTCTCTGTCCGTATCTATGTCCTAATCTCATAAGGACACCCATGATAGTGGAGTAGGCCCACCCTAATGACCTATTTTATCTTAATTCTTTAAAGGTCCTTTCTACAGATATAGTCACATTCTGAGGTACTAAGGGTTAGGACTTCAAAATAGGAATTTTGAGGGAATACAGTTCAACCCATATCAGGTAAAGAACTATGCATTATCACTGGGTATTTGGGAAACTCCTTAGCCATGACCTCTTATTTAGAATTCAGAGTGGTGGCTTAATGGTCGACACTTAATGTTAAATGAATTCTTTCTTTTTATATAAGGCAAAATTGAATCTTTCTTCCTAAATTCTACTTCTAGTTAAACTGGTAATTTATTACTAACACCTTACTATTCTAGAAGCCTGTCTTTAAACTACCAAAAACTGTCTGTTTAACACATTCCCCTGGCTTAATCACCGGCAGTACACATACGGCTGTCTCATTGGACAGTTTGTACCACCTGATGGGACTGTCCCATGCTGGCTGATGGAACAGTCATGAATGTATTGCCACTAGCTCAGAGCCACCTGGCAGCAAGACACAAATTTCGGCTCTGTTGTGAATGTGTCATATAGCAATTGAGAAAGCTGGAACACACCTTAGAGTCAGAGGTGCATGTGTTATAATCTTTATAAAAGGTGAACTCTTTGAAGCAGCAGAGAATATTTTAGATCCATTTCATCCTTTGAATTTTACAGTATCAATTAAGAGCTCATCTTCCTTTGTTCTCTGTGCGTTTTCATTGCTGCAGGTGGACCTGTATGTCTGTCTCCTGTGCGGCAGTGGCAATGATGAGGACCGGCTTCTCTTGTGTGATGGTTGTGATGACAGTTACCATACCTTTTGCTTGATCCCACCTCTCCATGATGTTCCCAAGGGGGACTGGAGGTGTCCTAAGTGTTTGGCTCAGGTAAGAATTAATGACAGAGGTAGGTAGCATTAGAAAATATCCTTCAAAGCATTTTTCTCTGCCTGCGGGTTTTAGATTTGGCAGTGGATAATAATGAAGCCCATGAACAAAACTGAGCTGGACCTGAGTAAGAAAAGGGTCCTGGAGAGGGGTAGGTGAGAGGCAGAAAAAAATGTTTTAATCCTTACACTATTGATGTTTTTAAAAATTTTCATTGGAAAAAGCATTACATGCTCTTTGCAAGAATTCTTTTTTTGGGGGGGGCGGGTACCGGGGATCGAACTTGGGTCCTTGCGCTTGTGAGCTAAATCCCCCTGGCCCTCTTTGCAAGAATTGTTAAACATGGGCGGGGGATTTAGCTCAGTGGTTCTGCCGCCTCACAAGCACAAGGTCCCAAGTTCGATCCCTGGTACCAAAAAAAAAAATTCTTAAACACTGAATAATTTAAAACAGAGGTATGATTTCACATGGATAGCCATTGTTAATATATATTTATACTTTTTTCTACTGTAAACAGATTGAATTGCATTACATAAGTAATTTTAGTTGTCTAATTTTTTAGTTTATTTTCATGTAACACTGAGCTTACTGATATTTTTAGTAAAATCTGAAAAGGATTTTAATATAGATTATTCTGTAGTATGAAACAGTCAGAATAGTACTACATTTGTGTTGTGGTGAGATTGTAGTAGTAAAGGCTGGATGTGGTGGCACTTGCCTATAATCCTAACACTCAGGAGGCTGAGGCAGGGAGGGTTGCCATAAGTTGGAGGCCAGCTTGAACTATGAAGCAAGACCCCCCCCTCCAAAAAAGAGGAGAAGTTTATATTGAATAAAAAGGTTTTAGTACTTCTCCATAAGAATGCCCCTCCTCGTGAGAGATGATTAGACAGGGGACAAGGCAAAAGGGCCATGGGTGTTAGATGAATTAAATGGTTAATGCCTGTAGCGAGGGTGACTTAACAGTGGGTGTGGGTATTCAAATCCATTGGCTCAGTGTGATCTTGGGCAGGGTGTAATACCCCTCCCTCTTAACCTCCAGTGTTTTGTTTTTTATGGCATTAGATTGTAATCAGATATTGCTAGGGTGACAGCCATTCTGTTTTTATCAGGTGTTTTGCCTCCATTTTGGTCTATTTTATACATTGGGTGTTGATTTTATAGATTTAATGTTCAGAAGGATGCCATTCCTCTCATTTTCATTATGGAAATACTATTTGATCCTGAAAGAAGCCAAAGGTTTAGGTTGTCTCTGTGTAAATGTTTAACTTATGTACTCGGTTAGGGCTGTTAAAATAGATACTTAATTTGCTCAGTAGCAAATAAAATGTATTTCATTTGCTCAGTAAAACAACATCCTTTTTAGGCAGGTGTATTTTTCTAATGTAGACCTCACATAGAAGTAAAATAAGTAAATGAAAATGATTTTATCTGTTCTTTTGACAGTTGACCATATAATTGGCCTTTTCAGGTATCATGTAGAACACAAATTTACTTTTTTGTTTGCAGGAATGTAGTAAGCCACAAGAAGCATTTGGCTTTGAACAAGCAGCCAGGGACTATACCCTTCGTACTTTTGGAGAAATGGCAGATGCGTTCAAATCTGATTACTTCAACATGCCAGTCCATGTATGTACATATTTGCTGCTTTGATTTAGGATTTTAATACTTTTGGAGAAACGTACACCTGAAGGTAGATTTCAGTTGAGCCTCACACTTTGATTATGTAGAATGAAACTTCTAATATGTTTAGTGGTATTAAAATTCTGTAGTACTGTACTTTAAATTATGTTCTGATTTTTTTATTCAAGGGTTTCACTAGAGATGGCTCTTTTCACACAAATTGCACACAACAGTGATATAAGACCAGTAAAAAATTACCAACAGTCCTTTCAGCACAATTTAAGTAGTTTTTTTATTTTATTATTTTTTTAGTATGTAGTAAGTTTATTTTATTTATTTATTTTTTGGTACTGGGGATCGAACTCGGGTCCTTTCGCTTGCACAGCAGGCGGCGAAACCACTGAGCTAAATCCCCGGCCCTATAGTAATTTTATTGACGATGGAGGGGCAGTAGCAGAACAGGGAGAAGGGCAAAGAGGTGGGGCATAACACATGTAATTTAAAGAAAACTTCACAGGCCAGGGATTTAGCTCATTGTCACCGTGCCTACCTTGCAAGTGCAAGGTCATGAGTTTGATCCCCAGTACCAAAAAAAAAAAAAGAAAAAAGAAAACTTCACAAAATTTCTTTTTAAATTTTTTGGTGTTTTGAGACAGGGTCTCACATACAATTTAGGCTGAGCTTGAACTCACTATGTAGGCCAGGCTGGCCTCGAACTCATGGTGATTCTTCTGCCTCTGCCTCCCGAGTTCTGGGATTACAAGCATTCACCACCACACTGGGCTCACAAAATTTGTTGAATGACTGCTATGTTCCAGGCAGTGTACTATGCCTTGGGAACACATGTATTATATATTATTATGTAATCCTAAATTACTGTTGAAAATTTCAGAACAAGATATCATTTTTAATTCTTAGTCACTTAGAAGCATAAGTATGATTCATTCAGCATTTAATAGTTCATCAAATGAGTACACCAAAATTAAATACTTTCCTACAGTAATTCTGGATATTTAAGCTCCGCTTTTCCTTAGTACTAATGCTGTAACAAATACGTCATGCATGTAGATCTCTTTAATTGGATTATCTTCTTGGATTAGTGAGGTCAGATGAATGTATTTGTCTCTTATCCCATCCCGATAGCTGTATCAACTTATGGAATCCTCACAGTACATTAGCAAACCTATTTTCCCTAACATGCCTAACGTTTACTGTTAAATGTTTACTTGCTAATGGGCTTAAATTTAAACTCCATTTGAATTTTTAGTTTCTTTGATTCCTGCATCATAGTATTTCCTCATAAATTTTCTTAACCATGTCACCTCTTCTTTGGTTGGCTTTTTTTTCCTTTTTAAAGATGACCACATTCATTTATATATATTTAAGTTATCTCTGGACTCAAATCAGATTGACAGATCTTTGACAATTTGGTGACTCTTTATTTTAAGACCTACTGCTGCAAAGTACCTGATCTTTGTATTCATAACCTGCGCCCTGTCTTTTCATTGTTTGTCTACAATACGCTCAGCCAGGTCTAGTGGAAAGGATAGAAGGATGGACCTGAATAATGTGTTCAAAAACATCATTCGAACACGGCTAACCATTATTGCTATGCAGTTGCCAAGCAAGTTGTATACTACATTTCTGAAACATTTCCAATTTGTAAATATCAACATTTTACTTTCCTTGGCTCCCTTTTACTACTGTGGCCACAATGGTATTGCCGCCTGCCTCGCAAGTGCAAGGTCCTAAGTTGGATCCCTGGTACCAAAAATAAAAACAAAAAACCGAAACAAAACATACAACTGTGGCCAGGTTTGTGATAGAAGAAAATGAATTTGTAATTCTTTTTTGTTGTTGTTGTTTGTTTTTTTTCTTTTTGAGACAGGGTCTTGCTATATGTAGTTTAGGCTGGCCTTGAGCTGACTATGTAGTCCAGGCTGTGCTCAAACTCACAGTGATTCTCCTGTCTCAGCCTCCCAAATGCTGAGGTTATAGGTGTGCACCTCCACACCCAGCAGAATTCTTAGTTCTTTTTAGTTATTCTTTTTCTTTCTTTTTGTTTGTTTTGATTTGCTTCTTAGAAAATCCTTCGAGATGTTGCTTGAATTGTCTGGAATCAATTGTGGACCATTACAGACAGAATTTTTCTTTAGAAAGCCACTCTGTGATTCTTGTCTCTTAACTAATTTACCAAGTCAGATTGGTCACAGGCAGTTTGTGAAAGAGTGAAAAAACTCATTTTTCCCCTCTTCATTATATTTCCAGATGGTTCCCACAGAGCTGGTTGAGAAAGAATTTTGGCGACTGGTAAGCACTATTGAAGAAGATGTCACAGTGGAATATGGAGCTGATATTGCTTCAAAGGAATTTGGCAGTGGCTTTCCTGTCCGAGATGGAAAAATCAAACTTTCACCTGAAGAAGAGGTAGGCCCAAGCTGGGGGCCACTTTTAGTTTATGGGGGAGCTCTGCATTAGAAGCTGCAGTCAGCATATCCTTGATGTGAAGGATATAATATGGGATTAATGGTAGCTCCGTGGGCATGGGGGCCCATGCCTGGAATTCCAGCTCTTTGGAGGCCAAGGCAGAGGGATCATAAGCTCAGGGCCAACCTGGACTACGTAGTGGCTCCTATTACAAAAAAACCTTTTACAAGATGTAAAAAACAAACAAAACAACCTTACCTGTTAAAAATAAAAGCCCATGTAAGTGGGTTGGAAATTGAGTTATTTATTGAAATTCTGTTTGATCAGCTTGATGTAATTTATGATTACTTTCAGCAGATCTTTACTTAACCACACTTTTCGCCGATTTCAAGAAAAGTTGACTAGTGCTAATTCCCACTACATTGTGGTGACAAGGGAAAATTACTTAACCATCTTTTTTTTTTTTGGTACCAGGGATCAAACTCAGGTCCTTGCTCTTGCGCAGCAGGTGGCGAAACTACTGAGCTAAATCCCCAGCCCATCTAGGTTCTCTTCTCATTGGAGAAAGACTATCCATCTATTCCTATTATTTTTATTTTTCTCTTTATTAATAATTTGAGCTTGAGTGTCTGATTTACTTCATGTAATATTATTCATTTTCCTACAGAGGACTGAAGTTTTTCTTTGTGGCAGAGTAGTACTCAATTGTCTGTAAATACCACATTTTCTTTTTTTTTTTTCCTTTTCCCTTTTTTTGGTACCAGGGATTGAACCCAGGTCCTTCTGCTTGTGAGGCAGGAGGCGGAACCACTGAACTAAATCCCCGGCCCCGCATTTTCTTTACCCATTCATCTGTTGATGGACATACAGGCTGCTTCCAAGATTATTTAACTATATATAATGAATTGTGCTGCTGTAAACATGGGTATACATGAATTACTCTAATGTGACAGTCTTAACTCTTTTTGCAAAGATACCTAGAAAGGGAATAGCTGGGTCAAATGGAATATCTAGTTTTTGAGGAATTTCCACCATGGTACTATGGAAATAACTTAGCACAGTATACATTCCCACCAATAATGTAGAAGGGTTCCTTTCCCCCATAGCCTCACCAACATGGGTCTAGTGTTTTTCGTACCCACCAACTCATAGAAAGATTTTTTTTCCCTATCCTGCTAAGAGGTAATTTTTTTTTTTTTTAAATCTAACATTCACAGAAAAGTACATAATCGTATAGCGTGATGAATTTTTACAAACAGAGCACACCCATGTAACCAGCACTAGAACAAGAAATAGCACTTTCCCAACCCTCTAGAAGATCTCCTATTGCCCTCTCCTTAACTGGTTTTCCTCCTTTTGAGGGGGGGCCACTATTTGTAGCCCAGGCTGGCCTCATACTTGCAGTATCTTCCTGCCTCAGCCTCCCAAGTGCTGGGATTATAGGCATGTGTTACCATGCCCAGCATGCTTTCTCTCTTTCAAGAGGTGCTAACTCTGCAGGACAGCCACTGTGTTAGTTATTTTTCTCGTTGCTGAGATGAAATATCCAACACCCAAAGTTAAAGGGAAAAGGGTTTATTTAGCTCACAGTTTGTAGAGATTTTAGTCTATAATTGGCTGGCTCCAAGACAAAGTGGCATGTGACAAGAGGGGCAACAGTTTATGGCGGCAAAAGCAACAAGGGAATTTAACCTCTTGTATTTCTGCCCTTTTTATCCTATCCAGTCTACTTAGGTGGGTAGCACTCACGCCCTTAATCCTAGTGCCCTTGAGCCTAGCATTGCACGTGAATCAGTCACACACTCTAGATTCCACCACCTCTGAAAAAGCCCCACCTACGACTGAATGAGGTTTTGGGGGACAGCTCGGCACAGCCATAACAGCCACCATATTGACTTCTAAGATCATGGATTTAGTTTGCCTATGTTTGTGTTTGTTTATTTATTTATTTATTTATTGGTACATTTTAGGTATACAGTACATTTACATTTATCGTTGGGTGTTTGTACCTGTACATGATGTATCTTAGTTCTTATTTTTTTCCCCATTACCTGTGCGCCCTTCACCCCCACCACCTTTCCTTATTTACATAGACTTTGTTTCCTTTTTTTTTTCTTTCTCATAATTTTTCCTTTCCCTTCTTCCCTTTCCCCTTCCCCTCCCGCCACCCCTCCACCTTTGGACCTTTTCCTATTTCAAATTAGGAGTTACTCGTTTTAATCATTTTCATCCTTATTTACACTTTCAGTTTCTCACACTAGAGATACTATTTGGTATTTACACATGTATGTCCTGTTTATTTCACTTAAG